CAAGGTTGAGCTTTCCTTTCGTCTGAGGGTTCTCATTATACGCGTGTGCTACTTCCTTTCATGACCCTCTTAAACCGACGTGGCTCGAATGGCGTTACTATTTATCTCATGTGTCTTCTTTAAGCCTACGGAGCATCTCGTCACGTGTTTTGTCAGCGACACACATATTCCTTTTGCTTGTTTCTGGCCTACGATGATCTTGTACTTGTCGCGGATGTGTGATGAGCTTAAGCTTCGCAAGTCCGTGCGGGTCCTAAGCTCATTGCGACTCGTTTTGGGTCATGAACTCATCACAGATGTGCGATGAGTTATGGAATCATTGCAGGCATTTGTGTAGTATTGGTTTGACACCTTTTGTGCTCTGATGGTCTAAGTGACCATCATGCACCTACATTAGCCCCCCTGCTTTGGTAAGTGTGAGTTTACCGATAAGCATTTCGGTCATGGGGTTTGCTTTGGAGGTTCGTGATAGAGTGATGAGGATGAGGATTATAGGTGTTGTGATACCTTGATTCTTTCATGTTGGGTTTGGTGATCATTCTTGTTTTTGATGGGGAAGCATATCAGGTTCTTTGCATAAAGAATTCTTAATTTGGATAGGTTATTAGCCCCCTTGCTTATTGGTAAATGTAAACTTATCAATAAGCATTCTTGCACTCGACTTAGTGATATTATTTGGGCGAGAAACGGGAGCATTTGTTTTGGGTTAATTTTCACTCTCTTTGTGATTTAGCCCCCTGTCTTTTGATAAGTTGCTTTCTGTCGAGGGACAACTCTGTGCTTAATTGATTGGTGAAGCTATCAACCCCCTTGCCTCAAGAAAGTGACTTGTTAAGAGATAATTGCTGGAGCATGATCCGAGTTTTCAATCTCCCCTTTGGTTAAGGGAGGTTTGTCAAGTTTGGTTTTAGCCCCCCTGTTTCATGATAGGGCAATGGTTTGCCGAAGATAGTTGAAACTGTGGTTTTGATTCTCAGCCCCCTTGTCTTTGGCAGAGCTTGGTCTATCATGAAATATATTGGTTGAATTGGCATAAGGAATTTGTCTGGCATAAAGATGGTCTCCTTGTCTTACACCCTTAATGGCTGGGAAGAAGTCAACCATTGTTCCATTCACTAGTATCGAGTAATGACAATTACGAACACACCCCATAATCCATTTGTACATGTAGCCCCAAATCCAAATTTTGTCATAACTTTCCTAAAAAATTCCCATTCCACCAAGTCATAGGCCTTTCCCAGATCCAACTTATAGACCACTCTGATAACTTTGCATTTTGATGCCTTGAGGGCATCATTTCAAGGGTATTTTAGGCCTTATAATAGTCAAAATGTCCATTTTCCCAATTAATTTCAATATTGTGACCTTTGAGGGTCTCTGTGCAAATCTCGTGGAAGTTTCATGGCTAAAATGCAGTTTTTGGAAAGCTGGTGTAAAGGCCAACTGAGAGAGGGGGTGTTTTTGTGAAAAACGAAACACAAGAGGGCGCCTCCTATATGCTAAACCTAGAATGACGCCCCTCCTATTATATTAGCATACTCTCCTCTCCTTAGCAAACCCTATGGCTCTTTTCCACTCCTCCTTTTCATCCTTACCAAACCCTAGCCGCCCCTAACTGCTTAATCTCCACCTTCCATTCCTTCTAATCTCCATCGTTCATTCTAGGGCACTCTCTTTTTAGCATTCTAACCCTAGGGCACCACCTAACTTCTAATCCTCACCATTCATCCTTTAGCCACTAGATCTCAGCCCTCTATTCCACTCTCTATCTCAGCCATTCACTCTGGGGCACCACCCATTCCTTTTAATCTCCACCTTTCAGCCCTAGGTGCCCAAATCTCAGCCCTACATAATATTGGCACCCTCTCCTTCTCTTCTCAGCCTTAGGATCACCTTAGAACCATCATAACCCTTTATTCTAAACCCTAGGGCACCCATATTTTTGCTAAAACCTAACTGCTGCCCCCTCTTTCTCTCTAATCCCAGTTTTATCCACCTTTCTCTATTAAAAGGACCCAAGGGCTCCTGAAAAGGGGTTGGATTCTGCCCCCAGGTAAAACAGAAGGCTGATCTTGAGAAGTTTAAGGGTAGAGGAAGAGGAGAATGCCTAGGCAAGAGGAGGGGTTATTGCTTGCAGTTCACCAAAGCCACTACTGCCACCTCTGGAATCAGATCCCAACCATTTTAATTCAGTTTTATATTTAACTTCTGTTCTTTAATTTCCTGTTTGATTTCTTCCTTCCTGCAAATTTACTTTTTACTTTAACTTTTGCTTTGTTTCTTTTCTGCAGATTTGGAATTCGTCCAGGTAAGACGGAAGGCCTAGATCGAGAAGTTTGAGGGTCAAAGGAGAAATCCGGAGACTACTACCTCTGATCGAACTATAGACTTTTTTTTTTAATTTAATTTCTTTTATTTATTTATTTCTATCCACTTTTCACTTTTAGCAGTGTTCGAATCTTATTCTTAATGACTTTCAATTTAATTAATTAAAGTTTTGTGATTCTGCAACTTCCCTTTGTGTTCTTTTATCCGAATTAAAGTTTGTAACGATTTTTTCCTCGCTTCCTTGTGGATACGACCCGTTCTCACCATTTACTACGTTTATAATTTTTATGAGAAACAAAGAAATTTATAAATATTAAAACCGGTGTTCCAAAGTGGTTAACGACACGCTTCCGCTAGCACCACACTCCCTTCTTTCTATCATTCCTGAAATTCTCCACACTCTCATTAGCAATTAGAATTTGATTTGTTATTTGTCTTCCACTCACAAAAGCTCCTTGATTTGGTGAGATAATATATGGCAAGACTTCTTTCAACCTCAGAGACAACACCTTTGCAAGGATCTTATACAAGCTATTTACCAAGCTGATTGGCCTAAAATCCTTTGGATGCAATGCATCTTTCTTTTTTGGGACAAAGGCTAGAAAGGTAGAATTCACACTCGGGTTAACCACTCATCTCCTATGAAATTCCTCAAAAACCAACAAAAGGTCATCTTTCACCGTATCCCAACAGTCTTGGTAAAAAACCATTGTGAAGCCATCTGGTCTTAGAGCTTTTGTTATATCCATAGAGAAAACAACCTCCTTAATCTCTTCCAAATCAAACCTTCTCTCTAGCCTTCTCTTGTTATCATTTCCTACATCTAGCCAATCCAATCCTTCTAACCATACCCCCTACTTATAGGCCTTCTTAGAATTGATTTAAAGTGTCCCACAAAGGCTCCTACAATTTCATCTTGTTGTGTTAAATAAACTCCATCTATCTCTAGTTTGGAGATAGAATTTCTCATTCTCCTCCTATTTGCCAAAGAATGAAAGAAACTAGTATTTCTATCTCCCTCTTGTAGCCGTTTACATCTAGATTTTTGCCTCTAGCTAATTTCCTCTTTTTGTAGGCAGTCCTTAAGCTGACTTCTCAAACCTCTTCTTTGTTCCTTGTTTGCCTCTCCAAAGTCTCCCCTTTCTTTTTTCAAGTCAAGGCTCTCAATCTTGTTCATCAAGGTTCTCTTCCTTTCTTCAAGGCTTCCAAACTCCAATTGATTCCACTCCTTGATCTTTGCTTTCAAGAATTGTAGCTTCCTATGGAACCTCATTCCTTCCCAATCCATCACTGGGTTGCACTCATACCACCACTCCCTTACTCTTTTAGTGAATCCAAGATGGAGCAACCACATATTCTCAAACCTAAAGGGGGCAGGTCCACCATTCCTCCATTCCTCCTTGCAAATCACTATAGGCCAATGATCACAGGTCAATTTTGGAAGAGCCCTAGAGTCTAGATCTCCCTAGTGTTCTTCTCAATCCAAAGAAAACATAAACCTATCCAACTTGGAGGAGGTGGGCCTCGATTGGATATTTGACCAAGTGAATGTCTTATGGGCTAATGGTATCTCTTTGAGTTCAAAGGCATCCACAAACCTGTTAAACTTCCTCATACTAGTTGTCACCCTCTGATTAGTATTATTGGTTTCCTCCATGAATCTAACCACATTGAAGTTACCACCCATGCACCAAGTCCCATTCCAAAGTCTTCAAATATCAGCCAATTCCTCCCACAATTCATTTTGTTCTCTATAATCATTTGGCCCATAAACATTTGTGAGCACCCACACAAAATCATCATCTTATTGCTTGAACTTCATTGAGATTGAGTATTTTCCAATCAGTTCCTCTAGGCCTTCCACCACATCCTTCTTCCACATTGTCAGTATCCCCCCTAAAGCATCCCAAGAGGGAGCAGCCACCCAACTAATCCCCATGGATTTCCAAATACTTCTTGCCCATCTATTATTAAACTCCATTCTGTTGGATTCCTGTAGTAATACAATGTCTGGGCCATACCTCTTTATTACCTCTCTAATCGTCTATCTTTTCCTTGCACTTCCAATACCCCTCACATTCCAACTAAGAATCTTCATAGACACTTTTTCTTCAAGTCCCTTCTACAAAAACCACTACTTCCCCCTTTTCTTTTTATCTCCTTTTACCCCAAACTTCTTGTCACATTCAACATCTCTTTTTAGTCTCTCAACTTCACTCAGTTTTCTTTTCTTTATTTTAATTTCCTTCTCCTTCTATAGGCCACCTTTCAAAACATTAAAGTCTTTCATTATGCATCCCAACTTCCCTATGAATTCTACTATGAAGTCCTCCCTATTGGATTCCTCCACCCTTGTCCTCTTTAGATATTCCCCTCCATTTCTCCCCTTTCACCTTATCCCTCCCCTCTTCTCTCCTCTATATTCTTCGTCCGCATCATATTTTGTTTAACTTCACTAAAGATTTTTTCAATAATCTCCCAAACTTTCTCATTCCTATACCTTCCTTCCAACATCTCCCCACAGTCCTCCACTCTCCTTTCCATACTCATTAAATACCCACCACCTTGGTTGGTAGCACATACAAGGGCTGTTGAACTTGGAACAAGAACAAAATCTAGAGCATAGGATACAGAGAACACATTAGTAGCACAAACTGAATTCACTTGGTTACCTGAGTTTGACTGGAAGGATGAATGGGGGCACATAATGTTGTTCCTATCCTCCCTTTCTTTGTTTAGATGGTTGGTCAATGTCTATCTCCTTGAGTTTGTTGGTAAGCATTTCTGTCCTTTGGGCAATTTGGCAATCTGTCCTCTCTACCCATTGTTTACCTCTTATTGGTGTGTTCTCGCTCTGCCTCAGGTTCTCCAAGTTTACCCCTTCTTTTGCACCTTGCACAATCGGAAGTCTTGGGAGCACAACATTTTGACTAATGTCTTTAGCCTCATTTACATCAAGAGACCCAACTCTTCATCAACTATCGGACTTCTCTGGCTGTCTGGGTTCAATCTCCATTTCTCCTCTATGTCCTCCTGGAATAGGCTTGTAATGTTCAGCATGCCCAAGTCACCTATGTCGTACTCACCATCATCATTCACGCTTCCAATGCTGGTACCCTCATCCAAATTGTCCTCCGGCTCTTCGTTGTTTACTCCACAGTGCACCCAACCTTCATCCAATTCCTCCCTTTCTTCAGTTCTCTCTCTTGCATACCTGGGATTCGATTTCTCTGAGGTCTTCATAGTTTCGATGGGGCACCAACCGTAGATCACTGTTGTTCTCGCTCCGCCACTGTAGTTTTCTCCTTTTTAAATTCGCTGCTTTGGAAGAAGATAAACCAGAAGATCTATCCACTATCGACTAGCCCCTTAGCTCGACCCACGTGAGACTTTAAGTTATCATGTGGGTCACTAACAACTCCCCCCGGTTCAAAGGTCGACCTGCCCGGCTTCTTTTCCAGCCCTCTGCCCTGACCCACATGGGTCACTGCTGATACCCCCCGGTTTGAAAGTCAACCCACCCAGAATCTTAACCACATCAGCATATGATGGGCCGACCACTTGGCTTTTCGCCTTAAATATTTTTGAATTATTTCCTCTTTCAATGTGGCCGCCCAGTACCCCCTTGGAACTCGACTCTTCCTCTTCCCCAAAAAGTTCTCCATGTTCCTTTCCTTCCCCTCCCACTAAAAGTCTACCACGTACGCTTCCTTCCTCCATGTCACCTTCTTCTTCCTCCTTTGAACAGCTCCTCCACAAAGATGCTTCCAGTTCCGTTAGGACCCATATCTTCCTCCATAGTCCCTCCGAGAAGAAAGTGACCAGACGGGGCACCTCTTCCGGCTTGATCCCTCGGATTCTTACTTTGATCTCCATCAAGTCACTGAAGCCGTAGTCCTCCATTGATCCACCCACCGTGTGGACTATTTTATCTACTATCGACTTATTCCAGAAGTTGAACGGAACCCCAAGAAGCTTGATGTTGAAGCAAGCTACTGTAATATCTCTCTCATTACAAGACATACGCCATTCTTCGATGACGATCAAACCTTCCTGTGTTTCAAAAGAAGAGAGTTCTATTTTCACCTCCCCTATGTCGAGAATGGCTCTGTTTTCACTAAACGACACCACAAGAACAAGTTTTTTAATGCTAAAATTCTTCATTATTTCCTCTGCAATGAGCTGCCAGTCCTTAATCTTTTTTCTAGCTATCAACACAAATTTGTTATTCCATTTCTGTTTATCAACATTCAACTCCAATTTACTCAATTTAACAGAGCAAGCAATGTATTCCTTCACTGCCTTCTGAGTTATTTGCTCTCCCTTTCCTACCAAAACACTCTCATTCTCCCCCATCTCTGCTTTCTCCGTTGAAATCTTTTGCTGAACCTTTTCATTCATCTCCGTCAATACCAAGTACTCCTGTAGCTTATCTACAAAACACTTCAACCCGTCTTCCTATTTCCTTTCGGAATACACACGAACTTCCTGTTGCTTTCCCCAAAACGTTCTGTTATAACTGTGAACCACCCCTTTCTATTGTTTCTCAGCTTAGCTATAAAGTTCTTCCTTCCCATATTCAACTGACCTTTCCATCCAGTTTGCTTCTTGTTGTAAGTAAATGCATCCACAAAACCCTTCACCCAAATCACTGCATCCCTGCAAAGAAAAATAATTATTTTTTTTTCTCTTCTCTAATCTTCAGGCACACCTGTCCCTTGTTTTTGCAAGCTTCAAATATGTACTTTTTGGCTTCGAACTCCAGCTTTCTTCTCCATGTAGTCGCTGGCTTGAACTCCATCACTAATCCACACCTTCCATCTTCCCTATCAACCTTAGTGATGATTCTACTGAAGACATCAGCTACTAGGGTAAAAAGGAAATATGAAAGTGGGTCCCCTTGCCTAACACCCCTACAAGTTGAAAACAAGTCCTTCACTACTCCATTCACCAATATTGAGTTATGACAAGTACTAATACACCCAAGTATCCAGATACACCACCTCTGCCCAAACTCGCACCTCCTCAACACCTCTAAAAGAAACTACCAATCCACCAAATCATAAGCCTTCTCAAGATCCATTTTACACATAAAGCCTCTTTTTCCAAACCTTTTCATCTCTTCACATTTATTGGCAATCAAAATTTGATCAGTTATTTTGTCTTCCGTGAATAAAAGCCCCTTGGGCTTGACTGATAATGGAGGGGAGAATTGCTTTAATCCTCAAGGAGAGCACTTTAGCCAAGATTTTGTAAATGCTTGTCACCCAACTAATTGGCCCAAAATCTTTTAGGTGGCTAGCATTAGGATTCTTAGGGATTAGAGCAAAAAAAAGTAGCATTAACTCTGCGACTTACTATGTGCTTTCCTGGCTATCTCATCTTAATTGGTAATAATCTCCTCTCATATCTCTAATTTGGTCACAAAATTCTTCCTCCTCCTTCCATTTGCTAAATCACGAAAGAATCTAGTATTCCCATCACCTTTCTTAATCCACTTGTGCCTTGATTTCTGCCTCCATTTAATTTCCTCTCTCAAAAACACCTCTTCTAGGTCCTTCTTCAACCGTCTTCTCAATTCTCTATCACACTCGTTCAAATTATTTTGAGATTCCTTTTCATCCAACTCTTCAATCCGAGATATTAATCTCATTTTTTGTTCCTCAATTTTCCCAAAATGATCCATATTCCACTCTTTTGTTGTGCATCTTAGTCTCTTCAATTTCTTATAGAATTTTACACCCTTCCACTCTACACTGCTTAACTCCTCACCTTACCATTCCTTCATTTTATTCACAAAATTAGGGTGTGTTAGCCACATGTTTTCAAATTTGAAAGGTTTAGGTCCATTGACAAATGATTCCACCCCTATTTTAATGGGACAGTGATCAGAGGTGACCCTAGGCAAGGCTCTGGAAACCAAATCTCCCCAATGATTATCCCAATCTAAGTTAAAAATGGAATCTATCCAGTTTCAAGCAAAGGGGATTTTCCTATAGATTGGACCAGGTGAATCTGGAATTCAGAAGTGCGATTTCCTTCAGCTCGCAATTTCAATAAATTCTAAGTCTCCCTTAATATCAGAGATTAACCTTTTCATCTCCATTTTTTTCTTTTTCTTTTCCTATTTTCCTTCATTCTCCCTAGCATCATTTTTCATCTCTTCTTTCCCACCCAGTTTCTCAGCCTTTTGCTCCCCCTTCTCACTTTCTGAAATTAATTTTGTTCCTTCACTTTCATGTTGGCCATTCTTCTCCAATGTACCTTCCTTCTGTTGCAGAATCTCAAATTGTGTGAAAATTATATTCCAGATTTTGTCTGCCTCACACGCCCCCTTACTAACATCTCTACTCTCTCTACCTTCTCCCTCTAAACTCTCCCCTGTGCAGTCTTCTGTTTGCAGGTGGGATGCTGGTGCACCTGTTTCAGGCACAAAAAACAAGTCAGCCACTAAAAACGAATTTACAAATGTACCTGGGTGGACAGAGGGAGCACACAGAACAAAAGGACTTGAATACAAAGCTTTTTCATTGGGAAAAGTACGGAAACACACGATGCAGAATTCTGAATTCCAGCCCCCCCCTACAACTAGCCCTCTCCCCCCCTATAAACCACATCCTGCCCGTGAATTTGGCATCAATTCACGGTCAGGATGCATTCCCCCTGTACTTTGGGCCTAGTAAATTCTGATCTGGGCTGATTGGTACTTCTCCCTGTTTCATTTGGTTCTGAGACCTTCCCCTTAGCTGGCGAAAGCTGGGTTTGTAGAAATGGTACAGTGAACACTTTCGCCTAACCTTTCCCTTAGCTGGCAAACTGCTCATCAGCAGCTGCACTTGCTTCAATTCTTCGCCCTCCCCAACTTCCTTCATCGCCAGCATCTTCTTCTAAAAAAATTCTGTATTTAGGCTAGCTTTCATCGTCGAGCAAGCACTTGTTTCCACCATATCTATAATTTTTACAATATTTCCATACCATATTTCCGACATTTCTGACATGTTTCTTATATTTGGATGGCCAACATTTCAAACCTTGCTCACCATCCATAACCCAATCTAATGGAACTTATAAATGTTTAGTTGTTCTTATTCAATTTTCTTTCTATAAATGTAATAGCATACTCTAAAACATAATCAAATATACTGAGAAAAAGAAAATGTTGCCAGAACACTTTATCTTAAATTTGTCCTAAACTAATTTGTTTTTTTTTTTTTCCTTTTAATTTCTAATTCATTAAAGCTCATAAAATATTACATTATTTCTACCATATTAGACATGCTTTAAAACAGATATTTCATAACAGATGCATGTAATAATTTACCTATCATTAACATATATACAGATCAACTCAACGAAGACTTGTCACAAGTATCTGCAATCAGCTACATGAATCCTGTTTTGTAACTCTTTATCAAGGCCATATTCTTTTTTTTTTTCTCCAAGGAGATACACAATGGGGGTTGTCCATCCCCCAAAGTCTCCGCTACAACCAGCAGGAGACCTTACCAACCAACCGGTTAGCACCTTGCTTTATCAGGGCTGTATTCACTGTTAAATTACAAGTCCTCAAATTTTTTCTAACTGCTTGAATATAAATGTGCTTGCTGTCTTCATACTAGAATTCTAATATCCAAAAAAGAAATGATTTGTCTTTACAGAACAGGTATCATTGAGAGTGGTCATTTCTTAACACTGATCAAGTGGTTGAACTTGTATCGTCAAATCCATGTTCTCTGGAAGAGAACAGGCATAAAAGCAACATAAGAGCATTCGTGTTATTTCTAGAAAGGAGTATCAAAATGGTTTTACCTTGACTTTATATTCTATCTGCTCATTAAAGGCTTTAATAAGACAAGTAGCAAGTTTTGCAATCCACCAAGCAGCTGCAACTATTCCACAATGTGCATAGCCTAAACTGCCAACTCCTCATATACAATTGTATGATCTATGATGGAATGGACCCGTTGCACCTTTTTTTTTCCTTTTGATAAGTAAAAGAAAATTCATTAAAATAAAAGAGAGTACAATCTGGATAGGTGATAAGATAGCACCTAATCAACAACAGAAAATAAAAAACTTAACACTGACATTACAATTTTAAATATCCAGATTACAATTTTGAATCCCCATCACCTCCCACAAACTTTCCCCTAAATCCTCTCTTCTGAGCTGAGACTCTGGAAAAATTAAGACCTAATCTGTGACGGATTTGCCCACAGCTGCCACCAATTTATCCCGCTTATATTCCTTATCTTCAAAGATTCTTCTATTCCTTTCTTTCAAAATGTTCCAGCAGATGGCAAATGGAATATAGCTCCATATTATTTTAGCTTTTTCTATCCCTTGATTCTTGGCCATGAAGAGAATATTTCAGCAGTTGACCTTGGCTGAAAGTTCCTAACCCCAAAGAGTGAAGAGATTCCACACAAAACCAGAAATTCTCATTGTAAAAAAGAGATGGCTCACTGATTGCTCTTCCTCCTTGCATATAAAATACATGTTAGCCATGCTGAAACCTCTTGACTTCAAATGATCCACTCACAGCACACTGTCCATTGCTACCAGCCAAGAAAAGGCTTCCACCCTTGGTGGAATTGGGTTACCCTAGATTCCACCCAAGACTTCAAATTCTATTTGGTTCCTGCACAAAGCTGAGTAGCATGACTTGACTGAAAACTGTCCATTTGAGCATTCTTTCCACCGCTCATCCCTAGGCTGGGCTGAGATCATCACCCTCTCTAGCTTCTCCAGCAGACTTAAAGCACCCCTCGAATTCCCAATCAAGGAGTGGCCTTCTAAATCTTTGGGGCCTTTATGGCTTTCAATGTGCGCTGTGATTTCCACAAAACATTTGCTTTTGTCAGCCAAAGTTGTAAAAGCTGGTTTAAAATCAGCCAAAAATCAAATGAATTTATGAACTCAATGGCATGTATGGATGTAATATACCATGAATCTAAGCTTAGGTAAACTAAGTCATTTAGGAACATCTAGGGATAGGAAAATTTCAAAAGAGAAAATGAAAAACCACAAATTGAAGATAAGCATCATAGTTTCAAGTCTAGTAGTGACCACTTTCGAACATCTAGGGATAGGAAAAATTAAAAGGAAAAGGAAACCATGCCTAGGTGCCAAGACATCACTGCAGGACAAGGTTCTAGTGCACATAAGATATCCACTGAGGGTCCATTCTCTTTAATCCAGACTATCTCAAAAAAAACTTCTCTGAGGAAACTTCTATCAACTCCCTAATTGATAAAAATGTACCACACTACTGAAATTTTATTGGAGTTAAGAGAAAGCATTTATATAGCCTTAATCTCCATAATCAATAGGCCAGCTCCTGGTAATTTCCAGTTACCATTACAACATTATGAGTATGGCTAACTGCTAAATCCTAACCCATCATCCTCAAGCATAAACACCCCCCACTTGGTAGGAAAAAATAAAAAATAAATAAATAAATTCAAGTTCAAGCATCACTCACTCTTGCTTTAGTTCCTGAAAAAGAACACCGTCTTGAGGATAGCCTGTCCCCTCTAAAAAATAATGAGAATGGCTTGTCTGAAAGATAACAACACCAAGTCAGTAATTTTAAAGAGGTATCTTTTGATCAGCATTTAGAAGTCTAGCCTTCAAAATAGGTGTTTTAACAGAATTAAAAATTACTAAGGAGGTTGACCATTTGACTTCAAAGAGTTGAATGTCTGGAAACCAATTCCAAAATGTCTCCCCCAAATAAAACTCAATGCTATTTTTCCATTATAACATAAACCAGAATTACAAAGGGCTTGAGTATACTTGCATCTTTTAGAAAGCCTTTTAATGGGTGATATAATGAGAGCTTGAATTTCCATACTGGTGTTCTTGTTGCATTAACAATTCTTATCTAGAATTGAAAATAAAGAATAGTTTTGGCTTATTAATCACAATAGCTTGCTCTTTCACTATAGCCTATAGCATTTACCAAGTAGTTCGACCATACTAGCACATGATTTACAGCCTCAACCCAAGTATTAGAATATCATCTTCACACTCCCCTTTTTGTCCATTTATTTGTTTCTTTTTCTTTTTTTTTTTTTGAAAGGTAAGTATAATTTATATTAACTGAAACTGCACTAAAAAATTACATCAGAAACCCTGTACACCAAGCACTGTACAACGGGATGAAAATACAGAAAGTATAGTAGATACAAAAAAAAAAAAATGCCACTGTTAGTGATTCATTTACATCATCGACAAAAAGAATTATTTCCCACTGATTTATAAATAGCCGCTGGTTAATGCCATTAAACTCTTCCAGAACCCTGGCCCATTCAATCAAGCATCTCTCTACCCTCCCAATCATTCTTTCCAACTCTGTGACCGATTGGGTGAATATTCTGCTATTTCGTTCTAGCCAAATGACCCAGCACAAAGCACCATGAACCAAAATCCATAACCTCTTGCCCCTCCTACTAAATATCTTAGCAGACCAGGCTGCAATCAGCGAGTCCAGATTTCCAGGAAATACCAGTGCCACCCTGAACAGCTGCAAAAAATGGCACCATATATAGTAGGCTATAGGGCACCATAGCAGGTGGGAGACATCCTCCCTCTCCGACTGACAGGAGACACATTGATTATCTATGGCCATACACCCATACCTCTTCTGATAAGATGATCTGTAGTGGGGATTCTGTTAATTAATGCAGACCACAAGAAGAATTTCACCTTCAATTGCCACTTGTCTATTTATCTGTTTCCATAGAAAATTTTATTTTTTATTTTATTTAAAAAATTGAATTCAGTAAATCAGTTCTTGGTTTCAATGTTGATTGCTTGAAATAAAGGCTCATTTGCTAGGTCAAATCAATCTTGTAGGATCGCTTCTTAGCTGTTATAATTCATATTCTTGGCCAATTTATGCCAATATCATCTTCAGCAAAAATAAAATAAAACAAAAAAAGTTAAGCAGGATCAGATATTAAATATGAGTGTTTTATCAGAATCTTCCTGGAGTAAACATCTAGATGGTAATATGAAATTTAGAAAACATTGAAGCTCAAAGTGTATAATGTAAGAGAATACAATCTAGAGAGTTTTCCAAGTCCGTACTCCATAAAGAAATAAACACATGATAAATTTCTTTTCTTTTCTTTTCTTTATTTATTTATTCATTTGTTTTTTGAAGAGAAAGGTGTACATTTCAAGCATAAGGGTATATTGAAAATCAATTTGGTGATCTCATCTCATTCACAACCGTCATGCCTTGTCTCAATTATACAGGGTCAGCTATATAAATCTTTTCCTAGATTGAAAGAAGCCCTATATGGGGCTGATCCGACAAGAAAATACAAGAGGGTTTATATGAAAAAAGGGTTTGAGATTTAAGGGTTCAAAGAAGGTGGAGGGGAAGAAGACGTTTACAAAGTCACAAGGTTCAGTAGGGGCGGTGATCCAATCGTTAGAGGTATCCGAGGAAGTTCTAAAGCCAATTGCTGGGTTAAAGGAGGAGGAAAAGGAGGGTGGAGTTTCTGTAGAAAAGAAGACCAAGGAGATTCTATCAGGCAGCAAGGAGGTAAAGGGAGCAGTGCTGGAGATTGAGAACCTGGCTGATAGAGACGTTAGAAATGGAAAGAGTTTAGGATTGATCTTTTGGGGCGGAGAAGAGTTTGCTAGGAAAGCTATTGAGGCTTTTGAGAAGAGCAAGAGGGAAGAGAGGTTGAAGAAGATTATAGTAGGGGTAGTAGGAGAGACGAGGAACGAAGATGAAGATGGACAGGAAGAAGTGTTTGAAAGAGATGATTAAATGTTTTTGGGGGAGAAGTGTGGGTTTTGTGTGCCTGTTTTAGCATGTTTTTGTGGAGATGCAATCGCTTGCTTTCTTTTGAGGCCTATGCAGTATTTGTCATTTCTTTCTTTTGCTGTTGTTTCTTTGATACTTTGGATTTTGGCGATCCAGGTGCTGACTCATCACCCTCTGATGATTGTATTGAGACAATCTTCTTTTATTTTAATGAATATTTTTCTTTTTACACTTCAAAAATGTCATTCCATTCTGTTCAGTGCAATATTCATTGTCAAATTATGGGCCCTTAAATCATTTCTCACTACTTCAATCCATGACCCGGTTTTCCCTATCTCTTCTAGCACCTTCAACTTGTAAAACATCATCTTTTCTTAGCCTTCAAAAATGTTCATTTCTAGTTCTATCCCTTCTAGTTTTCCCACCCATCCATCTCAGCATTTACATTTCTATCACACTCATTTTTTGGACATGCTTATTTATTGCTCAGCACTTTGCTCCATACAACATTGCTGGCACACCTTGGGTGCACCCCTTCATCTTGCCCATCCAACTCTAACCCTATGGATGAGATCCTCCTCTATCTCTTCCTTGTCATGGATTATCAAGCCAAGGTGACAAAAGTGGTCACATTGAGATATCTCTTAGTCTCCAATCCCAAGTGTGCCCTGATTTTCACTCCTATCATTATTAAATTCATTGAATATATGTTGCTTTAATCATACTTATTTTAAAACTTCTTGCTTCTAAGGTATTTGTCCATAAATCTAAGTTTTCATTAAACGTTCTTTAGTTTCATCAACTAATACTATGCCATTGGAAAACAATATACACCATGTTCCTCCTAAATATGTCTAGCCAATTTATTCACGACTGGCATAAATAATAAGGGCTAACTACTAAGCCTTGATGAAGTGCCACAGTAACTTTTAAAACTCTAATGTCTCTCCCACTGGACATAATTACAATTTTTTTTGGGCAAAGCAAAACATAAAACAATATGTCAGATACCTACTTATTGTGGAATCCAGTCTTCTTTTCCATTTTGGTGTCAGTGCATCAACTAACGCATTACCTCCAGTCAAATATGAAAATGTGAAATGTGAACCGAGTCCATTCATAAAATTTTCAGTTACTTTACTGTTATGATTCATTCTACACAAATGGAGCATAGCACTTGTATAGCCCCTCTGCAGCCACATAGATTAGTATAAGTATAAATATACTACAATGGGATTGACATAGGCAGTTGGAAGCATTTGCACTTAAGCAATTGAAAAATCTGAATTAATTCATGCAACTTTGGAGAGTTAGAGCCCAACTTAATTGCCTCGAAAAATCAGATCCTATTTCATAAAATGTTAAATTCTCTGAAGAAGATGGCTGATACTTTAGCAGGTTTAAATGGAGTAGGAGATCAGCCAATGCAATGGCTGATACTTTAGCAAAGCAAGGAGTTGGTAGGCAGAACCTTTTTTGGGCCTGTTTGTAATCTGTGGAGGGGTCACCTTGTTTTTTGAAGGTGACAGTTGTACTACGTTTCTTAAAGAATTAATGAAAATTACTGTTTCCAATAAAAGAAAAAATTCTCTGAAGAAGATACAAAGAATCAGCAACAGTGAAAAAAAATAGAAGCAAAAACCAGCCATATAGAAATATGTAAGTCTTTTTTTGTTCTTTTCTGACAAGTGTTATTCTTTTAATAGTAAGGAAAGGATTGAAGCAATATATAAAAAAACAAGTGTAGCTGGGTTTGATAAGATTCCAAATCACAAAGATAACAAGGAGAACAGCATATCATGGGTAAGCCACAACCTGTGGAAAGACATCTAGATTCAGAATCACAGCCCAAATTTAACTTTGTCAACTTGTCAACCTGTGGAAAGAGACATGCATCAGCCAAGATAAAGTTAATTGCAGAATGTATTTTCTAGAATGCTAAAACCAAAGAATATCCACTTACACAATCTAAAACTTCAGCATCTTCTATATCCCTTGAATTTAGAGAGGAGGTGGATATAATGGCCCTTCTCCACCATTTTTCCAATTATTTCATGAGCTTCAGAAAGCTTTCCTGCATTTCGCAGATTACCCACCAGTGTGCTATACACAACAAAATTTGGATTGCATCCTCGGGATTCCATTTCATTAAGCATTGAACGTGCCTCTTTAAACCTTCCAGCCATGCAAAGTCCACGAATCATGGAATTATATGTAAAAACATTTGGTAGCTGCCCCTTGACAATCATCTCATCAAACATCTGTTGGGCCTTTTCAAGCTCCCCAGCAATGATATATCCAGTGATCATGACTGTGTAACATACCACATCAGGAGTGCACCCTTTCTTAACCATCTCATCAAAAAAATACTTACATGCCTCTAAGTTTCCAGCACGACTAAGTCCATCTATCAGTGTGGTAAAATGGAGCACACTTGGATCACAACCTACTTCTTTCATGTGATTCAATAGATTAAGGGCTGCAAGTGGTTTGTCCCCTTTACCAAGCACATGGAGGAGGATATTATATGTGTGTAAATCCGGGGAAAATCCATTCCTTCCCATCTCATCAAGTAGTCTGTGGAACTGATCCAACTTCCCCAACCTATACTTTGCACACATAAGTATGTTATAAGTGAGAACATCAGGGGAATGCCCCTCCAGTAGCATTTGTTGATACACCCACTCAATCAACCTGTATTGGTTTATTACAAGAAGTGAATGTAGAATTGCATTGAAAGAGTGTTTGAACGGCCGGAAATTAAAATTTTTTGACTTGATGAACCTCTCCACCAACCTCCTTGCCATGCCTGCCTCCCCACAGGTACATATCAAAATATTAAACGTTTGTGCAGTAGTAGGATAGCCATTCTCCGTCATCTCATCGACTAATCTCCACATGGCTTTGAACTCCTCACAATCTGCAAAAATTTTCATGATCAAGTGGTATGCGTTTGAGGTGTGCTTGTAATCACTTTGCTGACCAGACCACATGAAGAACTTATATCCTAACTTAGCACAACGGTTCTTGTTTGCATGGTTTATTGTTTTAGAGATCCTTATAAGAACTTCTCTGACAAGACGGCTTGACACCTTAAGCTGCAACTCATCCAAAGCTGATCTGACATCAAAACCTGGCCCATCTTGCTGAAGAGTTGCAAGAATCTTCTCGGCGTTGAATCTGACATCATCCAAGAGCCTCTGCCGATTGAAGCAATCTTGCTGAGAACCGTTTCCCTCGCCATCATCATATGAAAGGCCAATGTGCAAAGCCGGATCATAATCTGACTTTCCATAACTTCGAATTGATAATTCATCATTAATACCATACCCATCATCACCGTCGCAACTTCCGAAGAACCGGCCACATGTGGATCGTGAAATACAGCGAGTGCTAGAGAATCTCCGACCAACCAAATGACCAAGCAAAAGCACAGAAATCATGGCAACAACCAATCGAGCATTCAGAGATTTTAATTGCTATTGCAACTTTCAGACTCCGACCAATTCACCCAAAGCACTAATGCCGGATCAACATATTCCGAATAGAGGGTTTCAAGAGCTTTTGTTTCGAAAGGCGCACCAAGATGTGAGAACGAGTGGAGAGAAGACGACGAGTGGTTGCCCGCGGCTCCAAGACTTTTGAGTTCGAAACAAGCTTGACTGAACCAGAACAAGAGCTCCTGGCAATCATAAGTTATTAGTATTCCCTTTAAAATTAAAATAATCTAGAAGATTCCCATTCAAAAAGAAGGTCTATGCTTATTCAAGAACAGGAGAATAGATGGGGTCGTTTCATCAGGTTGAGCGTCTGGGACGGGCCAGGTAAAATTAGAATCCTGTGCATTCCCGAGGAGGAGAAAAGATCCAGTTGAACAATCTTCCAAGAGGCGTTAAGCGTTTTTGATAATCACAGAAATAGCCTTAAAACTCATCCTCCCGAGTCGAAGGCTTTCCCTCCTCTTCAGACGGGGAATAGTGGAGTGGTGGTTTCTGGAGGCTCAACCCATATTACTATAGTCCATCAAGCTGGTCTTTTCGGACCTTGGAAGAAGGCGTTCGTGTGTACAAAGCCTGAAGACCTAGACTGGAAGGAGGTGGATCTGGGTCTGTCTGCTAACCTTTACACTCCTGCTACGATCCAGCTGAAACCCTTCGATAAAAACAGGGCAGTGGGTTTCGCTCCCTCAGAGGATCTAGTAGTGGAATGGCCGACGGTTAAAGCGGTCCATTAAACTCCGTCATTTGATGGTTGGATTTCGATAAGAGGCTTACCGTTTCATCTCTGGACTGAAGAGGTGTTCCGTCTCGTAGGTAACCTCTGCGGCGGTCGTGAAGAAGTTCACTCGTACAAAAAAACCTCCAGGAGTTATCCTCAGCGCGAATAAAAGTCAGTGCCGAGACATACACCTAATCCCTCGATCGGTACCAATTTTGGACAGTAACGTCTGGTTTCAGGCGGCCATCACAGTGGAGAAGACGAACGAGTTAAGCTTTCAACTCCCTGAGTCAACTCGAAAAAACGGCTCCTTACCTAACGACAGAGCTGGGTCAGTCGCAGACCTTCACCTTAAAAAGAAAATCGTATTTAGAGTTCAGTCCCCCAAAGCAAATATATTTACCCACACGCCCCTACGCACACCATCCCCGTGAATTGTGAATCTTTACGAACTCATTATGGCTTTTGAGAATTGAGGGGGACTGAACAATCAATAACGGCACATGTAGGACTGTAGTTAGTAATTCTAAAAAACCCAGCCCCAGCCCCAGCCCAAGACTCTGGCCAAGCAACCGGTTAACTAGATGGCAAGGAGTTGGCTAAAGAAAGGGATGGAAATCAAGAAAGAATTGGGGTATGGAGAATCCAAGTTCAAATTCTGTGATTAGTGAAAATAGAAGAGGTAGTAAGGGAAGATTGAATATAGTGAATCAATGAAAATTCTCAGCTGGAATGTCTGAAGAGAAGTTTGGTCAAAGAATCCTTGAGAAGGGAAAAACCCAAATGTTGTGATTTTACAAGAATCAAAGAAAGAATCTGTTGACAGAAAACTGATCAGAGCCATCAAGGGGGGTATTAGGGGGAGGAGTTGGGAAACTCTTCCATGTGGAAAGAAGTAGTTTCAAGTCTTGAAGTGGATAGGGGAGAGTTCTCTATCACAATTCTTTTCACCAACAAGGCCCTCTTTTTAAAAGATCTTTTGGGCTTTTACAAACCTTGTAGGCCAAAAATGGTCAGTTTTTGTTTGGCTAATGAAAGCCCATTAGATCAAAGACAAATCCCAAAAAAGACTCTAAAAGACCAAAATCGTCTGGATCTGAGAAGCCTTGAGCCAAGCTTATGGTCTATGTGAGCTTCTCGGCTTCCCAATGCTTTTTACAAAAATTCGAAAGAAACTCTCTGCCCGAATGTATGTTCTTCTGGTTTTCTTCTTATTCTTATTCTTTTTCTTCTTCTTCTCACAAATACTAATTGAGGCTTGTTATTCACTGTATTCAGGCGAGAGCTATGGATGACTGAGGCTTGTTATTCACTGTCTTCAAGCTTATGGTCTATGTTGGATCCAAACTCGATGCAGCGTCGAGTTACAATGGCGAGAGCTAAGGAGAGAAGATAAAGCTGATAAAAACAGAGGGAGAGGGAGGGAGGGAGAGAGAGAGAGAATGAAATAAAGGAATGGAGTGGATAGATTGCCACTGTTGTGATTTGCTGTGGCGATTGGGAAAAAACAGAGGATGTGGAAATCGATAAAAAAAGAAGAACAAAAAAAAAATAAAAAAGAAGGGGAACGAAAAGGTTTGAGTCGTCGCCATTGCTACATTTGTGGATAAATCGCTGTTGAGAGTGGGGATCGAGAAAAGAGAGGGAGAGATAAGAAAATAAAAGAAAAAAACTAGAGAGGAGAGATCGGGGGCACATTGTTCCGCCGCTATGTGTCGAGAGGGAGGGGAAGATGAACAGTAGATTAGTTCAAATGAAAAAACGCTAGGTTATATTTATATCAAGGCATTGGTAACTTTAGGAAAGTTGGGTCAAATTGAGTTTCTAATCTAACATTGGGGTTTAAACTTTAAACTTGTTCAAAGGTCGGGCCAGAATTGGGGTTTAAACTTGTTCAAAGGCCAGGTTGGGATGGGCTTTGTCCCGAGCCTGGTCCGACCATCGAGCCTAGATCTTGAGCCCGAATCCAGCCCTTATATAAAGTCTGAAGCCCAATCTACACATAAAGTGTCATATTTTCAGTGCAATTTTATAAACTAGTATTATATTAATTTAGTAATAATTTAATAAATTAATAAACTAATTTGTATTTCTTAAATAGTATATTAATATTTGATAACAATTTAATGAAAAAATATATATTACATATATTTATTATATATAACATAAGTGATGTAGCGCGGTCCGGTCACTCCTATCTGGCACTCACATGGCTCCTGGAAGATACGTGAGAAGAAGAAGAATCCCGGGGGGAGTTACCCGATGGGAATACTCCGATGATTAAGTTAGTACTCGGTAGGAGAAGCAAGGAGAAGATGAAGGCTAAGAGTACAGATAGCGCGAGTATAGAAGATGATGATGATGAAGATAATCAAGATCATACCTGTTCTCCTTGATACTAAACTCCTTATAGCAGAAATTGGTTGCTTCTGGCCCCTTGGCTTCTGACAGGGCGGGTATAACCGCCACTGTCAACCTGTCGCAGCCGTTACTGGCAGGGCTGAGGTGGCATGCGCGAAGTCGTCATTGCAGGGTACGTGCCTGTCAGGTGTAAGACACCTTCTAAAGGTGGCAGGCACGACGCTGCCTGACGAGGGACGTGGCTGCTGTCACTAGATTTTTCGGGTATGGTGGTCGGGCAGGAGATCTTCCTGCGATATACCAGACTACCCTTTCGCGGGTTACCCTGTGCTGGGCTATCTCGTAAGCGGCGAGCTACCTGTGGCAAGCTAAGCCGTGCTGTTTGGCCCGAGGTGTCTTCACCTCGGGTGTTTATAGGCGGATCGGTGTGTTCTTGTCTAGGAGTGACCCGAGGTCCATTGGGAGGAGTTTGGGTATTAGGAAAGGTCAGGGGGCCCCGAGCTCGGAGGCAGCTCGGGGTGCCTTAGCCCTGGGAAGGGGGTGTAGGCCAGGCGGCTCATTCGCGAGCTAAAGTTGCCTCGGGGTATTCCTTCAAAGGGAGCTCGGGGAACCCGGAGCTCGCATCGTGGCGAGCTTCTCCTGTTGTGGTCTACGATACAGCGAGCTACTTTATGGGCCCGTCACTAGGCTATAATGCTGAGTTGTTGCTCGCGCTGAGTCAGTCTCCACGTGTCATCATTTCATAGGTCGGGTCAAACCGTCCTCCATCAATTGCCCCCCACTCCTTGTGCTGAGAGCATTGCCTTTGCGCGAGGAGTTCATGAAGCGTGATGGACTGATTTGACCGAAATTCAAACTTGATTGACAACTCGCATTAAATGCGTCCGCGAGAATCAAGAGATTTTCTGACTTTTCTGACTTTTCGGATTCCTAAAACGTGCAAAAGTGGCTTTTAATTTTGAGCGTTGTGCAGCCGTCATTGCCTTAATCGCGGAAGACGTGCCGCCAATCGCCTTTGGTTTTCAAAAGGTGTGCAGTCAGTGCGCCTGCGAGCTGCTAAATATGCTCAGATCTGGGCCGTCGCTTCGGGGAACCGCTAATCACCTTCAGTTTTCAAAAGGCGTGCGGTCAGCACGCCTGCGAGCCGTTGGATCTGCTTAGATCCGGGTCATCGCTTCGGAGACACTAGAGCTATAAATAAGGGGGTCCTCTGGGCCTCGTTTCTCCCCACTCCAGCTTGCTATCTTTGGATTCAGAGTTCGCGCACCTGTCAAGTCTACCCAAGTTCCTCAACTTATTTCATCCCGTCTCCTTTCAATGAGTCTCGCTTATTGTCAGTCATGTCGGGGTACCCGTACCATGTCCATCACCACAGTGGTGACCAAGATGATGATGCTCCCTCGAGCTCGGGGGGAGCTTGGGAGCAGGTTCCGGGGGCTAGGGAGTTCTCCGGAGAAGGAGCTTTCACTTTGCGAGGAAGGGAGCCCGATACTTTCAGCCCTTCCTCCATGATAGAGGGGAGACTTAGGGCTCTGATTAGCTACTTCCACCTTCCTAGGGACCTCTACTGCCTCCCCACTTGTAACTTTCCGTGGGAGCATGGCCCCAGTGACATAGTCATTTACCAGGAACAGCTCGAGGCTGGCCTGCGTCTCCCTCTGCACCCCCTGATAGTGGAGGTGCTAAACCACTTCAATGTCACTATTGACCAGCTTCATCCCAACGCCATTCGGAACATGGTTGGGACTATATCTTTGTGTCATGAGTACTGTCTTCCCTTGAACCTTGATATTTTTGCTTCTATTCTTTGTATAAAAAATGCCACTCCCGGGGTTCCACCGGAGAGGCGCTTTTTACTACCTCTCCCCCCGCCGCGGCTATAAGCTCTTGCATGGGCTACCGAATAAGATTCTTGCTTGGAAGCGAGATTACTTTATGGTTCATGACCCCAAGGGGTGGCCCTTCCCAACTTCTTGGAGGGGTGCCATCCAGGACCCCAGGGCCGAGCTGGACCCCGAAACTCGGAAAACGATGTTGTCCTGGGCATCGGTAGGCTTCCTCTGTTCGGACTACTTGGCCGAGGAGAAGCTCGTGCAGGTCGGCCTGAGCCCGGGTAGGTTGTCCTTTTAGGTCGCATGGTTTTGTCACGACATTTGTGTCCACATGCATATATAATTCATTCTTACCGAACTAACACTGATTTCTTCTTGGCAGCCATCATGTCTAGTATCGACTCGCACCGCCTTCTCTCAAGCAAACAGAGGCGCCAAGTGAAGAGATCGCGCCCCGACCGGACTCCCCCTTCGGGGGGCACTGAGTTCGGTTCCGCTGAGCTGGTTTTAACCTTCCCCCCGCCTGAGATCCCGGCACCTCTGCTCGAGGGAACTAGTGGGGTTGGTGTCGGGGGGGACGAGCTCCCTCCGTAGGGGGCAGCTCCCAGTAACCCCCTCCAGCCGTACCCTTACCCTTCGTTCCAGGTGGGGAACTGGGAAGGGGTGAACGACTACCAAGTGGCCCGCCGGAGGAGCCGAAAGGCGATTAACAACAATGAGGTCGCTCACTAGGGGAATATGGAGCCCGAGGACCTCGCCGCGTTCGCCTCCTCCCACTACATGGTGGTAAGTGATTCTTGCCTTTTTTCCTTTCTCATTTTGCTTCCTTTTACTGTTCTCTGATCTTCTTTTCTGTTGCTAGGTGAATACCGCCATCCATGCCATGGCTCTCCAGACGCGCATCCACCGTGTCGACGCCCTCGACCAACGGGCTACTAATAAGAAGCTCCAGGGCGAGCTCGACAGGATCCAGGGCGAGCTCCATCACACTCGCAAGGGGAGTGAGTCTCAGAAGCTGCTCGTCCGTGACCAGGAGGCTCAAATTGCCTGGCTTTCTGAAGAGAGCATGCATTACCGGGAGGAGTCGTCGAGGGTGGCGGCGGAGAGGGAGCTTCTCCGGCAGCAGGTATGGGACTTGGAGT